TCTAAACCAGGTCTAAACCAGGTCTAAACCACAACTAAAACCAGGACTAAATCAGGTCTAAACCAGGACTTAAAGCAGGTCTAAACCACAACTAAAACCAGGACTAAATCAGGTCTAAACCAGGTCTAAACCAGGTCTAAACCACAGCTAAAACCAGGACTAAATCAGGTCTAAACCAGGTCTAAACCAGGTCTAAAACAGGTCTAAACCACAACTAAAACCAGGACTAAATCAGGTCTAAACCAGGTCTAAACCAGGTTCACATTTGCACAATCACCACATCTAAACTGGGACTAAACGTTGACTAGACTAACTCAAGATTAGAACAGAACTAAACCAAGTCTACATCAGGACTAAAATGGACTAAAGCTGTCCTCACTAGCACAGTCCAGTTATAGTCCAGTTATAGTCCTGGTTTAGTCCTGGGTGCGTTCACACTTGCACAATCATCATAACAAAATTGGGACTAAACCTGGACTAAACCAGTACGAGACTAACTCTAGAGACTAGAACAGAACCAAACCAAGTCTACATCAGGACTAAAATGGACTAAACCTGACCTGACCAACACAGTCCAGTTACAGTCCGGGTTTAGTCCTGTTTATGTTCTGGTTTAGTCCAGTCTAAGACCTACTTAACACAGCTGTAGCCCTGTTTCAGTCCTGTTTTAGTCCCAAATCCTTGTACTTAGTCTTGGTCCTGGCCACACTTAGTCCAGTTTTAGTTCTTGATTACCGTGACTCGAGCTGAATCACCACATGTTTGTGTTTGTTTCGCGGTTTACGACTTGGTGTGAAAACCTGTCGAGTCCCTTTAGAGGAGCTAAGTCCCAGAGAAAAGTCTTTGTCTGAGTTCTTCTTCATCAAACGGAGCAGACGCCTCGAACAGATGTCCCATTCTGACTCCGACACAATCACTCCACTTTAAACCACCCGTATTCAATTATTTTCTGATTTGTGTCGTTTCCTCGTCACAAACAGACGATGTTGGGAAAGTTAATTTTAAAATGTATTCCCCTACAGATTACAGATTACACACCCCAAAATGTAGTTTGTAACAGAATCCATTAAATTACTTAAAGTGAGTAATGTAATCTGAATACTTTGGATTACTTGATATTGTTGTGCTTTTTAAAACGACAAGAATGTAGCGACCACATCCTGAAAATTCTTGTTTGTTCTCTTCAAATTGTCTGTTGAGCCCAAGTCTCCATGAAGAAGCGACTGTTTGCTGTAAAGACTAAAAAATCTTAACATCTGGGCCCAGTCCAGCAGAAGTAAACAACAAGGCCAAAAGTTCAAGTTAATTCATCTGATATAAAAATGTATTGAACAGATACATATGTACTCGAGTTTATCAAACTGTTGACCTTTTTTCTGTACCATTTTTAGTTCTAAAATCACACATGTTTTAAACAGACCATGAATGAAACATGGAACAAAAATTATTTCCCAAATTTCAAAGACCTGAAAATCATGTAAATAAATGGATGTATTTCATCATATCTTGTGTTGTTCCATCTTTGAACTGTTGATGAAGGTTCATGATTTTTCCAAAAAAATGTATTTAAAATGATAAAAATTTTGACATATTTTATAGAAATAGTTTCTTTCATTTTGAAGTAATATTAAAAATATTCAGAAGAAAAAAGCGACAAATGATGTAAAATCCTGCACCTTCTACTTGTTTGTACAGTTTTCCCTCCGTTACTTTTCCCTCCGTTACCATGACCTTTATTAATAAAAAATCTCATGACTCAAAAAGTAAGAGGTTTTTCAACCTAATCTTGTACCATATGGTAGAAAACTATATGAAGCAAATATTCAAACCAGTTTGTTAAGGATATGTAAGTGAGAACCAAGAGTTATCACTGTTTGGATTTATTGCCCAAAAAGTGCTGCATATTTCATTCCCTCCGTTACCAACATGAGTTTTTACATTTTTTGTCAACAACTTGAAAGAATCTCACAGGTTTAACTTGACCCTGTTGGAGTGTAACTCTTTCCTACATTCTGATACTTTACTTATTTCAATAGTTCCTCTAGTTTCTGAATAAGAGACATTTGAATGTAAAAATCTGACCCTGTTTCCCTCCATTACCACTTGACTGGACCCAAAAAATTGTGCTGATGTCCTTTTTAAAATAGGTTTCAAAACAAATCAAATCATTAGGTCAATTTTACGAGCAGGTGCCGGGATGTTCATTTGAATACATGTCAACATTGCACTGGTCTGTGTTCTCAGGGACATGTTTAATGCAAATCTTCTGTTCTTGGCTTTTGAATTTATTACACAGATATAATATTGTAATAAACGATACTAAGGAATAGACTTGATGCTCAATACGAGGGTCTGACGGTACGAAACATATCATTATTCGCACGTCACGATTACATACATCACGATATATCCCGATACTGAATTACTTACAATACAGTCAACTACACCTTCAAGAGAACACAACTGTATGAAAAATAATGTATTATTTTTATTAAATCATGGGCACAGTGAATCTAACTAATGAATTTTTGTGAACAATATTATTTAAAAAATCGATTTGGATCCATTTTGAATCCTTTCGAGAACTGTGCAATGAACTATCACGATATATCACTGAATCGATTTTTTTCTTACACCTCTGCTCAATACTAGCCTGATTCATCGGCCGGTTTCACTTCGTAGAAACCGTCTGACCTCACAGCATTAGGATTCGTTTGCTCGACAGTAGGCGGGTACTTTTTTTATTTTTTATTTAACCAATCGCTGCTGTTTGGTCGTGACGTTTGTAATGCGTCAAATCCCGTAGGAAGAAGAGCAATAACGTCTTTCCCTTTGATAAAATTGACCAAACATTCTCTTTGTTCCGGCTTTAAATCCTCGATCTCGTGAACCGTCCACAAAAGGGACCCAGGTTGACGTCACGGCTTCACAGCTCTTCTCTGATTGGCCGGTGAGCGGTCTACAACTTCCGGGGTTCTTGCACAAACATCTAGAGTATTCCGATTCCTGACGTAGTCGCTGGAGAGAAATGAAACTGAGCGGAGGCACTTGGTAACACAATACTGATTCTTTCGACAATAGAACGTGAGTTTCAGCATTAAATGGTCGTACTTTCTTTTCTATTCCCATGTATCCTTATATCTGTGTAATCCTTCAGTGGTCCAGGTCCAAACCGGGTCCAAACCGGGTCTAAACCAGGTCTAAACCAGGTCTGTGGGCGTATACTTGTCTCTATGCTCTTATTCTTGTTCTGATACAGCTCCAGATCATTCTAGACATTCCGGAAAGCTTCATTTCTGTCCTGTCAGTGTGACTTTTTTAGCGTCGATACCTGCGAAAAATGACGATCCAGTTTCGATACTTGTTTTCAGATCGATGAATATCATTTTCGACAACACGATTACAATAGACTTTTTAATTCTATTGTTCGTTAAACTGCACACTCTGGTTCAAAAACGATGAGTAATCCCCTCTCACAAATAAAGCAGCAGCGTCACACTACCCAGATTGAACTTCCCTGTTTTCTTTTTCAGAATTACGCATAAAAATGACAAAACGATCGTATAAAAAAATCCCTTTGGCAGCTGGGGAATCAAAAAGTGGAACAGTTTTTTACATTCTTGGTTCTGCTTTTTTTGGGTCATGCAAACGATGCGTGCGTTCAGAAATCAAAGAGAGAGAAATGAGAAATGACGCCGAGAGAGAGAAACGTACGGAAAACCTTATTATAGCGCCAATATCATACGAAACCGCGACGTTCTCGGGCTTTAAAAATGGATGAGCAGTGATTGTGTGCAACCCGGGGTCCGCGTTGTGCGCACATTCAGCGGAAAACCACCACATTCACGCAGGTTATTCGAGCCACACCGAACAAAAGGTCGAGAAGAAATGAGAATTCGTTTTGCGGCCGCTTTTGCAACATTATCCCGGCGCCTGTCGGGCTTCTCCCAGCTCCTCTCGACCCCTTGATTTTATACTGCAGTGCACCGCCGCCATCTTAACTTCTCTCTTCTCCTCTGCCATCGTCTGACCGAGACCTGGAGCCGTTACGGGCACTTAGAACCGTTTCCCACCCGATTTATGGCGCATTCGGGAAGGATTTAGCGTTGCGTAAAACCAAAAAAAAACCTGACGCACCACGAGTCTTTGTGTGAAATCGCTTTTGGCGGTGTATAATTTGATTCCCCTCGTACCCAACACGCCCACTGCCTTAAAAATCTGCCCCTGGGATATGGAATCTGAGACAATATGCTTTTCATTTATTTAGGAAGGTAATTAACGAGCTGTAACGAGTCCAAAGAGGCTGTAATGAAAAGTCTCCGAGCTGTTTTCGATTTTGGACGAGGCTATATTGCATTTGGGAGCTGTATGTTGCCAAATTCTGACATTATTCCATATTATATCACTGAAACATAAACAAAACATACAGGTATTTCGCAGTTGAACGTTGTAAATACGTTGCCAAGGCGCTCAAATGCGTAAAATCCATCGTATCGCCTTGACTATAATAAGAAAATGCATCGCCAGCGTAAAGAATACGCCATAAAATCAAACCACCTCAAACGACAATGTGTCACCAAGCTATTTTACGTTTATTGTGTCACGTCTGGTCCGAAAACGTGGCGTTAAATTGCGTTATAACACGTTAAAAACCTGTAGTTGCTCCCTGCCCAAAATACGTAGCAAGCCAGCGATGCTCACGCGCTATGCTACGCGCTAGCTTCCGTCTGGCGCCTTTCAAATCAATTACACACGACGTTAACCCGGTTTCTTAGCCACGTTTAACGAAAAATCGCAACGACAACAGCGTGTTTGTAAAGTCTAACCACTGCAAATGCGTAAAAATTGCAGTTTTGCGAACATTTTTGACACGATATTTGTTTTAAGGTCGTATTTTGAAAGGGTAGCTTCCGGTGCGCGCTGATAACCTTCCGCGTTTTGACACATCTTGACAACCAAACAACATTACGATGAAAAATCCACAAAATCCTCGCTCTTACCTCGGCAGCGAAAGCCAAAGCCACCGTGGCCAGAAGCGCTATAGCCACGCGGTCCCTCATCGCGTTTGTTTTGTTTGGTTTTTTTTGGTTCAGTAGGCTCCCAAAATCCTCGTTTCTTTGCCCGGGTTTGAGCTCTCCTGGTCGGTGTGGTAGTGCGTCCTGCGCCGGTGCCTCCCGTTGTTTGATGGAGAGCTACACCGAGTCTGCACAGCTGCTCAGCGCCAGTCACCTGACCACAGACGGACGAGAATTACGCACAGACACACACACACACACACACGCGCGCGTACAGAGAGAGAGGCACGTACGCACACACACTTTACGCACACATTACGCACGGCTCCCTGTGTCCCTCGCGTTTTCTATTGAACAGCTTCAAAGGCAAGAAAGAAATAGTCTGACTTGGTTCACTTTTTTTTTTTTTTTTATGTTCACGCGTTTTTATTTGGTCAATGTTTAACTCATTACGATCTACATACGTTATATTCAACCTCATGCCGTAAAATTAAACATGTTCAGAGTGTGGAACAATCAAATCAAACACTGAGTAAGTCACTGAGCCGTAGGGACGTAACGATATGCAAATCTTACGTTACGATATTTTCACAATATTATAAACATCTCACGGTATGATATTTATTGCGACGATTTGTAGAGGCTAACAAAATTGTGAATATTAGGGGTGTAACGATATCCAAATCTCACGATACGATATTTTCACGATATTCAAATCTCACATTATGATATTTTTATGATATACATCTCAGTACAATATTTATTGTGACAATTTGTAGAGGTTAACAAAATTGGGAATAAAATATACGACATCTCACGGTACAGTATTTATTGCGATATTTTGTGGAAGCTAACAAAATTGTGAATATTAGGTGTGTAACGATAGGCAAATGGCACGTTACGATATTTTCATGGTACGATATTTATTGAGATATTTTGTGGAGGCTGAAGGCCAATTTACGGTCCAGGGTCAAATCGTCTGCGTTGACGCGTACCCCCTACGCAGAGCCTCTGCTTCGACCGACGTGCACCTCCAAAATGTTCTAACTACGCGTCGAAACAACGCAGACGATAAGAGCTGTGATTGGTCCTCCCTTCCACTGCACTACAGACGTTTCCTGTACTCGGCTTTCTTTTCTTTCAATATACATTGAGAAATAATGTGTTTAATGCAGCTGTGAGCATATGTGTTTACGTTTTACAGAAATGAAACTTAAAACCACATGTCAACGCAGAACTATACTTCACCCTTAACAAAATTGTGAATATTAGGGGTGTAACGATATCCAAATCTATGTTTATGTTTATTTATTTCGGACAGTAATACATAGAACATAAATTAAAAAACAAAAACAAAAAACTAAATAATAAAAAAAAGACAAAAACGTAAATACATAGATATAACACAAAAAGTAACTATTTCTATTCTATAATAACAGGCAAAATAAATGTTACGCAGAATTTTAATGTGTCCGAAAAAGGAGTGGGAGGAAGTAAATACTTATTTAACCCACCCCTTTTTTCTACAATCCCAAATTAACGAAGAACAAATAGACTGTACATTATAAGCAATAATTGCACAGTACCTCCATTGCATTACAATCTAACAGACAACAACAAATATATGTATATTATGTACACAGATATAGTACACATCATATACACAGATATAATATATACATACCTACATACACATCACATACCCATGCATACCTATATATATATGCATATATACACCCGTATACATACACTTACATATACATGCACACATATACCCTAAGCACTCATTTCTTCCGCACAGTATTTTGAAATAATTAATTTTTTAATTGCCCTTTTGAATACATGTATATTCGAACAAAGTTTTAATTCTATTTTCAAGTTGTTCCATAATTTCACACCACAAACAGAGACACAAAAACTTTTTCTTGTCGTTCGAGCACGAGGCAATTTAAAATTCAAAACGCCTCTTAAGTTATAGTTTGTTTCCCTTTCACAAAAAAGTAGTTGAAGATTTTTTGGTAAGTGCTTATTTTTAGCTTTATACATGACTTGTGCAGTTTGGTACAGAATCAAATCATTCAGTTTGAGTAATTTGGCATGAATAAACAGTGGATTAGTGTGGTCATGAAATTTGACATTATAAATAATTCTTATTGCTTTTTTTTGACGTTTTATCAATGGTTCTATTGCAGTTTTATAGTTATTGCCCCAAATTTCTGCACAGTCTGTTAAATATGGTAAAACCAGTGAACAATAAAGTGTGTGTAGTGCTCTGTGATCTAAGACATACTTTGCTTTGTTTAATACTGCAATACTTTTTGATATTTTATTATGTATCTAACGTTACAATATATTCACAATATCCAAATCTGATGTTACAATATTTCCATGATATACATCTCACGGTACGATATTTATTGCGATATTTATTGTGATACTTTTACACATGGATATATGACACCTTGAAGAAATTAAGAATAATTATTGCGCTATACTCACAGTTATTTTGTTAAAACTGAATAAAACATGATCATATAAATTGTGGGTAGACCAAGAATATTTTAATGCTGTTATATTGTTATATATGTAAATGGACCTGACAAATTTAATCCTTTAATTGGCAGGTACTAGATAAATTGCAGCTCCGTGTTTGAAGAAGGAGCAGGTGCCAATTTAAAACGCTATTGTGTGGTTTCTAATGGGCCAGTATGAAAAGGTCAGGCCTATTATTGTATTTTAGCCTATGTAAACAAACATAACTGTGGAAAATAATCTAGACTGTTGCACGGAGCGAGAAATCTAATGGAAGAGGTCGTGTTTTTATGATGGAATAAATAAATAAAAGCCTGGGTCCAGTGTCGAGTTTGATTTTTTTTTAAATAAATCGTTTAAATTCGATTATATGAGTTTGGAGATTGTTTGACAAGTTTTAGTTCAGTTTTCAAATGAACAGCTCCTTTTTTTTTACCTCTCGTTCAGTAGAAATTGGGAAATCCAGGACTGAAATCATCCAAATAATTCTAGTGAAGGTGGAATGGAAACATAAATATAAATGTTTTCGAGTTAAACACGTGTGAATGAAACAAAACACAAGGCCACGTCTGTTTGTGATGATTAAACGACACTAGAACAGAGATCAAAAAACAGTGTAATATGGGCCCTTTAACGTCATTGTTATCAAAACAATGACATGAAAGGGCCAGGACTAAACCAGGTCTAAACCAGGACTAAAACAGGACTAAACCAGGACTAAACCAGGACAAAACCATGACTAAAACAGGACTAAAACCAGGACTAAAACCAGGACAAAACCATGACTAAAACAGGAATAAACCAGGACTAAAACCAGGACAAAACCATGACTAAAACAGGAATAAACCAGGACTAAAACCAGGACAAAACCATGACTAAAACAGGACTAAAACCAGGACTAAAACAGGACAAAACATGACTAAAAACAGGACTAAACCAGGACTAAAACCAGGACCATGACTAAAACAGGACTAAACCAGGACAAAACCATGACTAAAACAGGACTAAACCAGGACTAAAACCAGGACAAAACCATGACTAAAACAGGAATAAACCAGGACAAAACCATGACTAAAACAGGACTAAAACCAGGACTAAACTATGACTAAAACAGGAATAAACCAGGACTAAAACCAGGACAAAACCATGACTAAAACAGGAATAAACCAGGACTAAAACCAGGACAAAACCATGACTAAAACAGGAAATAAACCAGGACTAAACCAGGACAAAACCATGACTAAAACAGGAATAAACCAGGACTAAACCAGGACAAAACCAGGACTAAAACAGGAATAAACCAGGACTAAACCAGGACAAAACCATGACTAAAACAGGAATAAACCATGACTAAAACCAGGACAAAACCATGACTAAAACAGGACTAAAACCAGGACAAAACCATGACTAAAACAGGAATAAACCAGGACTAAAACCAGGACAAAACCATGACGAAAACAGGACTAAACCAGGACAAAACCATGACTAAAACAGGACTAAAACCACAACTAAAACCAGGACCAAACCAGGACTAAAACCAGGACCAAACCAAGACAAAACCAGGACAAAACCACAACTAAAATCAGGACTAAAACCAGGACAAAACCAAGACAAAACCAAGATAAAACCAAGACTAAAACAGGACTAAAACCAGGACTAAAACCAAGACAAAACCAAGATAAAACCATAACTAAAACAGGACTAAACCAGGACTAAAACCAGGACCAAACCAAGACAAAACCAGGACAAAACCACGACTAAAACCAGGACTAAAACCAGGACTAAAACAGGAATAAACCAGGACTAAAACCAGGACAAAACCAGGACTAAAACAGGAATAAACCAGGACTAAACCAGGACAAAACCAGGACTAAAACAGGACTAAACCAGGACAAAACCAAGACAAAACCATGACTAAAACAGGAATAAACCAGGACTAAAACCAGGACAAAACCAGGACTAAAACACGACTAAACCAGGACAAAACCAAGACAAAACCATGACTAAAACAGGAATAAACCAGGACTAAAACCAAGACAAAACCAGGACAAAACCATGACGAAAACAGGACTAAACCAGGACAAAACCATGACTAAAACAGGACTAAACCAGGACAAAAACCACGACAAAACCACGACTAAAACCACAACTAAAACCAGGACCAAACCAGGACTAAAACCAGGACCAAACCAAGACAAAACCAGGACAAAACCACAACTAAAATCAGGACTAAAACCAGGACAAAACCAAGACAAAACCACAACTAAAACCACAACTAAAACCAGGACCAAACCAAGACAAAACCAGGACAAAACCACAACTAAAATCAGGACTAAAACCAGGACAAAACCAAGACAAAACCAAGATAAAACCAAGACTAAAACAGGACTAAACCAGGACTAAAACCAGGACAAAACCATGACTAAAACAGGAATAAACCAGGACTAAAACCAGGACAAAACCAGGAGAAAACCACAACTAAAACCAGGACCAAACCAGGACTAAACCAGGACCAAACCAAGACAAAACCAGGACAAAACCATGACTAAAATCAGGACTAAAATCAGGACCAAACCAGGACCAAACCACGACTAAAATCAGGACTAAAATCAAGACTAAAACAGGACCAAACCAGGATTAAACCAGGACCAAACCAAAACAAAACCAGGACAAAACCACAACTAAAATCAG